ATTTTCAAAGTTTGAACGAGCGTTTCTGTCTGTCGTGACCCAGTCAAGCCAAAAGACAAAGCTACAGTCAATGCAAATCAGGTACAGTCTGTTAAAGTTAACAAAAGAAATGAAATAAAACGGCAAAGGAATGTAGGAAGTGAGCGAAACATTCAATCAAGCTGCATCTTACATTTACTTAGAACTCAGTGCTTCACTGCTGAGCAAACAGACACACACACGTAAAATGTTAAAGCTCACATGCACTCTAATATTGTCATACATGAAACAAGTTTGCATGTCAGGAAATATTGTATTTCTATGTGATTTTTAGCATCCGAGCCTCTCATCTAGCATGAATCTGTAGAACAGGAATGCATCTATATGACTGATGATAAATTGATTGTAGAGTCAGGTAAGTGTGGAGCCAGCATCTCTTCACTCAGAGCTGCGACCAGCTTTTGTCCCATCAGATTATTTTCATTGATGATGTAATTTGACTCCGACGGCCTCAGCAACTCTGTGTATTGGTCTGCAGAGAGTGTTTGTGCTGCAGAAGTGGCGTTAATATTACTAATAAAAATAATAGTAAAAACTGGAATGATAGTTTAGATTTAAAGCCGATGCTAACCATGGCATCTTTTGAATTTCACCACTTTCTCAACACATGACGCTGACTGGATGGTTGGTAATTCATATTTAATGAAACACTAACACTGACACAGTGAATCATCAAATCAACCAGCTGAACACTTCTAACCTGAAAAACCTTTCATAATGCAAACAAAAGCTTTATATTGATGCAAATAAATATTATAATTTATTATGGATGTAGGTTTATTTTGAAACACTGATTGACTGTTTGTGATCAGTTAAGGCCAATTCAAGTGCAACATTCTTGCAAATAAAGTGGATGATTTATCTATTCGGTACCGGAATGCCAACCCTTGTTTGTATTTTAAACTATGCAATAACCCAAAATAAAAAAGTCCAAGAACGACAGAAATATCACTATTTTTGCTCAAGTATGCTATTTGAATAAGTTGTAGCGCTAACACCGACCCAGTTGATCTTTTCTCTTAATTGTCCATATGAGAATAGAGAGTAAAACCTCTAAAGCACGCACCGCTCCTCAGGTCACGCTAAGTTTGGTCAGGTTAGTGTGTTGGCACATAAACCTTTTGAAATGATTCATGAAAGCCTAAGCCTCGGTGTAATGCTCTCTATGACAGCCCTTTTTATTCCTCACAACATTGTGGGCATTATATAATATTTCCCCTCTGCGCTCATCCGTCAAAACCATGTGGACATTATATCACACGTCGCCTGAACCCTGATTATGTTTGCTTTGAACTCTGTGATCTTTCGCGTTCCCTTTGCTCTTTTTAAAGGGATTTCACCTGCGGACTCATAGCGGTGTGCAACACCCTTTATAATGTGTTGTCACCGTGAGGCTAAATTCTGGGGCTAAATTCTCCTTAAAGTCACCTGTGATAGAAGTAGCTCAACTCAATCAGACTTATAATTAAGAAGCATGGGGTTTGTTCAGAGTTGCATAGTAGTTTTACCTTAGTCACTCCCCTCCTTGGCACATGGCTGATAGATTATAGCAGCAAACTCCACACACTGAAGCCAGCCCACTCTTATTGGTATGAAGTGCCATGCTGGGACCACCTGGCTCATCTGCACTTGTGATGGATGTGACGGGACCTTTAATGACCACCAAAACGAACAGAAAAATCAGCAGACCGCTTGTTTTAAAGCCCTGTGCACAGTTTTGTACGGGGGCCAATGGAATTAGTGCCTCCTGCTGGCCTTTCGTCACCACTACTAACACCATCTGGTCCCCTATCCGAAAGATAAACCCGGGATAGCCTCGCTTAACTTCACAGACATGACACTGATGTGGTGCTAAAGCGCCCCAGTGGGTCATGGGCTCCGTACTGAGGTCTTCCGTCATGATGCTTGAACTTAAAGACGATCAAACCGTAACCTCCCCTGATGCGAACTTCACATGTGAAAGGGAGACAAGCTCACGGCATCTGCACGTTTACCAAAGATATGTGGAGCCCGGAAACGTTCATGTGATTGTCCTACTGCTAGTAGTAGTAATACAGAGGGAAGAACCAAAGGATTCTGGGAATGGGCATCTTGGGATGTATAGTTTTATGTCGTACCAATGAGAATCAACTGATTTCCTTATGAAATGTCATTGCCAGGTTTATGGTTTCTAAAAATAACGATGAGCCGATCAAGTTATAACTCTTGTCATGTTTTCATTTTTGTCACTGGAACTAGAGTGGAACTGTAACTCTCTCTTAACCTCCAGCCTGATCAAATGTCATCATATATCATCACACTGAAGACTTATTAACAGACCTATTTTAAACAGAATGTGCTCATTTTGATCAAATATTACACATGCATGGCAGGTAATTGCTACCTGGTTATAGACATAGAACATTACCACCTAATGGAATCTTTTGACACGGATCAGAAGGAACAAATAATAAATAAGTAGTATACACGCTGCATTATTTTTGCAAACGCTCTAGTTGATTTGAAACAGTATGTGTGGGTGTGTGACTGGTTTAACAGTACTCATCATTTCCGACTGCCTGAAGTCTGGAGTGATAGTGACCGACTAACAACGTAAAAGAAAGGAGGGTGTGAAGGAGAGATCCCACTTTGCAGCACGCAGCAGAGCGCCTTTAAACCTGTTACTGGGTCGTGGCTTTGGCTGCACTCGCACAGTTCTACTTTGAGCATAAGTAGGTTTGCTCTAAAATTAGATACTGATTCCCGACTCTTAACCCTGTCAGCTTGCCCCCCCCCCCCCCCCACCCAGATCCCAGTTAGACAAATCATACAAGTCATAAAAAACGACTAGTTGGCAAAAGGAGCCCGCTGTGAAGCGTTAAAGTCGCTGCACCCGGCCTAATTAGAAAGAACAGGCTCTCTGCTAATGTGTTGTTGCAGGCTGGAGGGGATTCCCCCCGGATTATTGTTTGATTGTAGTTAGACCACTGGGGAAGGAGGCTTGCTGCTAATCCCTCATTCACAGCGGGGGGTGCACCATTGAGTGGGACCTTACAGTATAACAATCGCATGTTTGCTACCTGCCCAGTATCCTGTTTTTAAAGGGACAGTTCACACCAAAATCAAATCTGCATATTTATCCTCTTACCTGTAGCGCTGTTTAACAATCTGGATTGATTTGGTTATGAGTCACCTTATTATTTTGGAGATGTCTGCCTTCTCTCTAATATAATGGATCTATATGGCACTTGGCGTTTGGTGCTCAAAGTGCAAAAAAAAAAAAAAAAAATGTATTTGAAGAACTCAACAGCAATGTCTGCATCCAGAAATCATGACCTGGTTACTTCTCCAGACCTTGTCGTGAGCAGTTTCATGTGGGAACTATTTTCTTTCGACCGAACTACTCCCACCAACCGCATCATTGTGCAGGAGACGTGCACCTACGCAGGTACGAGAGGTTTGTGCTTGTGACGGTGTGACATGTGAACATTTTTGGCGTCCTCCTCAGCTGATCTGTAATGTTAGTTAGGTGAGCTAGCAGTATCAGTTAACAATAAACAACAGCAGCCTCTTGTCCATGAGTAAACGCATGCCTCCTCCTGCTCGAAAACCAAACAATCTAGTTTGAAAATTAGCGCTACGGGAAAAATATGCATTGATGAATTTGAACTGTTCCTTTTTCAAGGATCTTGACTTTTCCAGATTACCTCTGTACATACTGTATGAAGTGACTGAATGAATGATTATCCCCGCCCCTGCCAGGTTGTAGGAGAGACCCCGTGTTTGGTGTTAGATGAAGCTCCATCCAGGTGTGAGAAGACTCCCGGAGAGGAGGAGGAGTCGGGGCTGCGTTTAACGCCCCAACCGGGCCTCAGCCCGTCCCCCTCCCGTCAGGAGGAACACACAGAGGAGCAGCACCTACAGTTTCTGGTGAGAGCATCCAGTTCTATGCTCAGCTGGTATTTCATAAAGACACTGTCATGTAGCGCCACATGCAAAAAATACACATCAATGTATCAGTTTCCAGCGCTAATGTGCTACATTCTGTTTGAATCTCAGTGTGAAATCCAGTTTCATGTTGCTTTCATGAGGACAAAATCACTCGAGAAAGCAATCCGTCTGATAAATACTCTCAACAGTATTCAACACAATCAAATAGAATACACCAAATCTGATTGTTGTGTGTTGCTGAAATTAAGGGGTTAGTAATGCAGGTTACTAAATCAAACAGTCGTTCATGAGAGTCCTACACTCCTCTTAGCAGCAATAAATGCATATTGTGCCCAAGTGCAGCAATCTGGCCGTCCACTTTGCATTTTCATGTGAAGCCGAGGCTTGAATCCAGTGCTGGTGACTGAGCTGACTGCCACCGCGGGGGAAATCTATGCTCAGATTTGTTATGTAATGCCGCGGGATTATTTTGAGCCTGTCCGCTGGAAACAGAAGAGTGGCACATTGACTCTCCAAGAGGGTCTCACGGCTTAAACGGACCATATTCCCTCTCAGCTCCGTGTTGTTGACTTTCCTGGTCAGGATGAAAAGTGGAGATTCCAGACATGAACCGATGATGTGTAGATAACTGATTACACGGTAGCATTAGTGCCAGTAACAGGCTGCATGTCTCCTCACCGTACAGCTGTGAGGACCTGTGCGCCCCCCCCTGCTCTCACTGTTGAGTCGGTGCATTGAACAGCTGGTTGTGCAGTTTTCTGATAGAGCGAAGTCGTCCTAATTAATGTGCAGACTGTCATTTTCTCCAAAAATTTACATTTACATGATGTGCTCAAATGCATATCTGCACACACAGATGTTTCATTTCATCCAAATGAAATCTGCATAATTATGAAGCAACTGAGCAAGTATACGATGCAACTTAATAAGTGTAATGCTCTGCATCTTTACGTTGGAATCTGAGGGGGACACGGTCTGGCTGCACAAGCAGCTTGTAGCTAGAATGTTGTTTTTTTTTAATCCATGCTGGATCTTCACCTCGCATCACAGACCAACTGGCAAAGATCTTAGATGAGTTACATCACGAGTAAGCACTGAGCCCTCCCGGACAGACAACGATGGCCCAGATATCCCGTAGGTGATAGTTTTAGCCATGAGAGCGATAACGGTCAGTCCACCACTTTGCTCCAGACTGAAATATGATGGATTGCCATGCAATTTGGTTTTCAACATTCATGGTCCCCAGAGGGTAAATAAATAACTTGCAGTCCCTTCATTTTCCATCCAGCGCCATCGTCGGGTCCGAATCGTATTTTGTCCAATACTTTGGTTTTTAAGACCAAATGCCTGCAAAAGCGATGACATTGCCATCAGCCTCACCTAAGCCTCAGTGTGCTAAGTGCTAATTAGCAAATATTAGCATGCTAACACGCCAAACTAAGACGATCAACACGGTGAACATTCATACAGAGAAGAAACAAAGCAGTGACAGGGGACACACGGAAGTCTACATCATCCTCTGGCCAACAGAAGGATTCAGTTCACGGGGAGCTAAAGTCCAAACTGGGAGACAAATCTGAAAAAAACCAAAATGAAGTTTGACCCGCAACAAATAAAACAGTTCAGTGTCGTCCTTGATTGTAAAAACAGCCGACAGTACATTTAAGTTGCGATCATCTTTGCTTGCACGTTATTCAGGCTGTTATTCTCTTAAGACAATAAGACCGAGGTTCTAGTTATTGCACCGGATGAGTTTGTCCCCATGATCAGGCAGAGTATTGGTCCACTCTCCTCTGCTGCCCATTGCAACCTGCGCAATCTAGGGATTTTCTTTGATCGGTCCATGTCGTTTGACCCCCATGTTAAGCAGCTGTCCAGATCATGTTTCTTCCACCTAAGAAATATCAGTAAGCTGAGATCTGTAGTCTCAACAGCTGAACTAGAGATGATCATACACACTTTTATCTCTTCACGCATTGACTACTGTAACACACTTTTCTCATCACTCAGTGTATCTGCTCTTAACCGCTTGCAGGTCATCCAAAACGCTGCCGCTAGATTACTCACCAGGACAAATCGAGGGTCTCGCATCACCCCCGTACTCCGATGTCTCCACTGGCTCCCTGTAGCATTTAGGATACACTTTAAAATTCTCACCCTCACTTACAGAGCACTACACGGTCAGGCTCCTAAATATGTAGCTGACCTACTTCACCCCTATTCACCCGCCCGCGCTCTCAGGTCAAACGTTTTAGGTCTTCTGTCTGTCCCACGCACACGCTTTAAGACCCGTGGTGACCGAGCTTTTGAGGCAGTAGCACCGAGACTGTGGAATGCTCTGCCTGCACCTCTACGCCTCGCAGATTCTGTGAACACTTTCAGAAACCAGCTCAAAACGCACCTCTTTAGACTGGCGTTTGGGTAAAACCCGTGTCCTAGACCTGCTTTTAAACTGTTTTAATTTTGTATTTCTCTGTGTGTATGTAAATTATTGGCCCTATGGTCACATTGTGTTTTTTATGCTTGTAATTTCTGCTCTGTTAAGCACTTTGTGACTTTTGTCTGAGAAAAGTGCTTTATAACTAGATTTGACTTACTTACTTACAGCTGTGGCCTATTCACAGTCAAGCAAATCAGACCACAGATTCCAGTTCAATTATCATTAATGTCCCACTGTGTCATCACCGGTTAAGTATAATCTAGTCAGCTGCCGGTGGTCTGCAATTAGCCTGTCTGTTGTGCAGCTTCACCCCCCACACAGTCCCAGCGGTGATTGAGGGCCTGAGGCCGCGCTGAAATAAGCAGATTTCTCCTATGCTGGTCGTGCATGTAAGCTGCCTTTAGAATAATTAAAGGATGCTAAGCTTTGTAATACCGCATTGTTATCGTGTCAGAGGTCAACATGGGAACCAAAGCCAACGTATTCTGCATTGCGAAATGTAAACGCAAATTCTTCGTCATTATGTCGCATGTCGTTTGTCGTGTCTTTGCGCGCTCATACAGTATATCCTATTAAAACCATGTCTTAGAGCCGTGTTCGATTTCAAAATAAGGATTGAATGTAACTCTTCTTTGCTTTGTTATCACTGTCGTTGCAGGAAAGCGAGCTGAGCAAGAAGAGAAAAGAATGTGAAAACCTTGAGCATGAAGTAAAGAAGCGACAGAAGAGATGTCTGAGTTTGGTAAGCAGTCTTCTTGCTCCAGTATTTCCTCCTGCATGCTCTCTGGCTCCGGTCTGGTTTAAGCGTTATACATATATAGTGGACATAAGGATGACTGGGAAGGGATGGATTTCCTCAGCTTGACCTGAACTTTGCCCTGTGGTTCGGTAACAGGAGAGCCAGCTTGAGGATGAGCAGGGCAAAAATGAGCAACTAAAGGAGGAGGCAGATCTCCTCAGGAGGAAGGCACAGCTGCTCGACCAGGTCAGTGTTGAGCTCTGCGAAGGAAAAAGATGTTTCGCTTTTTCTCTCTCTCTCTCTCTCTCTCTCTCTCTCTCTCTCTCTCTCTCTCTCTCTCTCTCTCTCTCTC